TTATGGGTTCAGAATGATGAAACTAATCCCAGGAGGGTATGATCCCTGCTATTCTTCATATGCTGAAGCATATTTTCACAGGATAGATGTACAAGCTATTGAAATTTTATGAAACTTTAAACTTTAAAACTTGAAAACCTAAATTCCTTTATTGTCAATATCCTCAATATCAAATCATCAAGAAAATTAATAATGCGGATGATAATTTAATTCTTTGAGAATGATTCTTTATTACTGAATCTTGGCTCCGGATCTTGAATCTTGAAAATCAACTTGGAATTCCTTCTTGATTGGTTTCTTGTTTTCAATCTTGATTGCCTAGTTTGATTATTTAATTCTCGTTCTTAGTTTTATTTTTGATCCATAATTTTGATTTTTGATTGTAAATTGTCTGTTCTTGATTGTGGGTTTTGGATCTTCCTCTTCAATATGCATTTTCTCTAAATTTTTGTGTTGATGGGATGACACAAAAAATGAAAAATTGTATATGAATTGGGGATCGTAACCCTATATGTAGTTTCCATATGTATTTCGCTCATCGTAAAATATAATTCTAAAGGAATTCAGCCTCTGTACATATAATTCGACCCACGCTTTATTTAAATTCCATAAGCCCAATTTCTTCATTCTTTATTAGATCACTTTAATTTTGGACTTAACTTTAAAATAACCTTTTTCATTTTAAATTGTTCACCACAGTAATTCTATATTTTGGAATTATAATTATACAATATTTTCCGTCTTTTCGATATACAAAATGCTCATCAAAGGTGGAATCAGGATTTGGATTTACAGGTACCAATTTTTCTCTTACTATTGCTACTGTATTGGAAAATATTGAAGATAGATAACAAGTTACACTGTGATGGTTAAGTCAATAATAGCGTATGAGATTATAATGGGACAAGTGTGTTGGGCACTTGCTATGACTATTTCTTAACTGCACTACAGATTTTGAACCGTTCTGCCATGATACTGGAATTAGTTAGATTTTAGTCAATTTTGTACGAATAAAGCTGCAAAACCCGAGATTAAATCTTGGGTTCTAATCCTGCCACCTCAGCCCCAGATTTTGAATGGGGCGAGCCCCATGAATTAAAGATCAAGGGCCGAGGTGATTGCCACCTCAGCCCTCAGCCCCTTGATTTTGATTGGGGCGGGCCCGATGAATTAAAGATCAAGGGCCGAGGTGATTGCCACCTTGGCCCTGGAGCCAATCCCGAGTTTTAAACCCGGGATCTAAAGCATCTCTCATTTTGTACTGCTGCAAGAAAGCATGAATAATGGCACCCAAATATTTTGAAATGTGAAAGGGTTGGCTCTCTCTTGTACATTTGGTATGGTACGAGAACCAAGTTTTCCTGGGCTAGCCCTTCCTCTCTTTATCTGGAACATTTCTTCACTTTCTTCTCAATAACTTACAGTCAAGGTCACACGGAAAAGATGATTCTAGGAAAAAATATTACTGTCATTTCATAAGGTCACACGGAAAAGATGATCTTAGGAAAAAATATTACTGTCATTTCATTCATTTTTTGTAAAAAAATCGCGATTAATTGTAATGAAATGCAATTATTTCATGGACAATATGGCATTTCTATGACCTGGGAGATGCAGATAGCCGAGTGCTGGTTAATAGGTTCAAGATACGTACTCCAAAGCTGCCCCTCAAGACTCCATGGACTTCTTGGTTCGATAACCTTCAGGTTAGTTATAATAATATGATGTTTGTTTGGAACAAGGGTCAATAAAGCACTATTTCAGTTTTCAAAACTAATTTATGCCATTTAATCTTCAATATTGTCTCAAGTATTTTGTGATAAAAACAGGTGGCAAAGATTTTTTTTTGAACGGTAATCAAGTATTTTATTAATCAAACCATAATACACATGAAGTGTATTATCAGTACAAATCCGTAAGAAACGACATAAAATTGGGCAACCCATCTATATGACTAGTAGCCACCGCATTAAATCAAGTGTACAATATGAAATAAAAAATTCTCTAAGTTGCTTTGTTGTTCTTGTTTGATCGTCAAAGTATCGGCTGCTCCTTTCTCTCCACACACACCAAACTATGCAGCTCGGAATAAGCTCCCATGCAAGTTTGCTATCTTTGTCGCGAAATTTTCTCCTCCATGCATTTAACACGTCTTCCATACGCCTTGGCATCGCCCAATTTATGTGTTGCGATGCGAAAATCTCATTTCACAGTAAACTAGCAACATCACAATGGAGGAACAAGTGATCGATCATCTCCTCATCCCTCTGACACATAAAGCACCACTCTGTAATACAAAAACTTCTTGTCCGTAGGTTTTTTGCCGTTAGCACCTGTCCTCTGACCACTGTTCATAGTAAAAATGCTACTCGTGGTGGCAATTTACTCTTCCACACTGCCTTCCAAGGGAAAGAGTTGTTCTCAGGTCCTAATAAAGATTTAAAGAAAGTGCCGACTGAAAACATGCCATCCTGTGCCAACCTCTACCTGCTGCAATCACCATCTCCTGCCTTGATTTGTACCTCATATAAAGATGTCAAAAACAGCGCGTAATCGTCTAACTCCCAATCCTGCGAACCCCGTGCAAAAGCAATGTTCCAGCTGATATTCCCATTATGAATATCTAAAACATCATTCACCATGGCAGACGACAACAATGCAATACGATACAAGGAAGGAAATTTCAATCTTAGTGGTTGATCTCCACACCAACAATCATCCCAAAAATTGATAGTATTACCATTCTCTACTACAAACGTCAATTTATCCCGAAAATCACTCCACCCTCGCTGGATATACCGCTACAGACTCACCCCATAAGAGCCTCGACTCTCGACTGAATACCATCCCCCCTCCATAACACCATATTTTGCTCCTATAATTTATCTCCAAAAACTCCCCCTCTCCATTCCAAATCTCCACAACCACTTACCCAACAAAGTTTTATTAAACAGTACGAGACTCCTCAATCTGAGACCACCCAATCTCATGGGAAAACATACGATACCCCAGTTAACCAAATGTAATTTCCTCTCCTGCCCTAATCCTTCCCAAAGAAAATCCCTTTCGATCCTCTCCAATCTTTTTGCCACTGCAATAGGAATAGGAAACGACGACATGAAGTAAGTAGGGAGGTTTGACAATGTAGACCTTATGAGAGTAAGATGACCTCCCTTTGAGAGGTACATACGCTTCCACCCCGCAAGCCTTCTCTCCACCCTTTCAATAGTACTATTCAAGATATGTGTGTTTTTAAACCGAGCACCTAAAGGCAGCCTAAGATATGTTATAGGCAATCGTGCAACCTTGCATCCTAGTATAGCAGCCAACTCCACCATGTTATTATCCACCTCTCCCACTGTGATAGTTTCAGATTTCCCCAGATTAATTTTCAATCCAGATACAGCTTTAAAGCACAAGAGCAAACGTCGCAAATTCCTGATTTGCTCTACCTCTGCATCACAGAAAATCAGTGTGTCGTCTGCGAAGGGCAAATGACATACCTGTAACTGCTCAACCATAAAGCCCCTTAGTAAACTCTCCCCCACGGCCTTCTCGAGCATCTTACTGAAAGCCTCCATTACAATGACAAACAACAATGAGATAAAGGATCCCCTTGTCTCAATCCTCTGCTACTATGAAAATAAGCCTCCGGAATGCCATTAACCAAAACTGAAAAAGAAATTGTGGAGATGCAAAATTGAATCCACTTACACCACTTATCCTCAAAGCCACATCGCCTGAGCATATATAAGAGAAATCTCCAATTTACGTGATCATAAGCTTTCTGAATGTCAAGCTTACATAGCATTCCAGGAACACCCAGGCGCAGTCTTGAGTCAATGCATTCGTTTGCTATAAGTACTGAATCCAAAATCTGGTGTCCTTTAACGAAAGCATTCTGAAACTTGGACACCACTTTTCCCAGCACCTCCTTCAATCTATTTGCCAAAATCTTCTCAATAATCTTGTGAACACCGCTCACAAGGCTAATAGGATGCAAGTCTTTAATATCCATTGCTCCCGATTTCTTTGGAATCAGCACAATAAATGTAGCATTGACACTTCTCAAGAACCTTCCACATTGAAAGAAATAAGTAAGGACTTCGACAATGTCCGATCGCACCACTTCCCAACAAGTCTTATAAAACAAGAACGAAAATTCGTCCAGTCCTAGTGTCTTATCATCATTCATGCTGAACACCACCTCCCTAATTTCATCCTCCCCAAAAGGCCTCTCTAACCAGTTGGCATCCTCGTCAGATATAGAAGAAAACTTAAGCCCTTCCAATTCTGGCCTCCAATCAAACTGCTCCTGATACAGGTTCTGATAGAAGCTTACCATCTGGGTCCTGATCTCCTGTGGATCCTCAAAGGTAACGCCATCTACCTTCAACGTACTAATAGAATTGTTGCGCCTATTGGAGTTAGCAACCCTATGGAAAAAGCGGGTGCATTTGTCCCCCTCTTTCAACCACTTGATCCTAGATTTCTGACGCCAAGTAGTCTCCTCCATCTCCACCAACCTCTCCAATTCTTCCCTTAATTCTCCTCGTCTCACCCTCTCTTCCCCTGCTAGTCCTCTACTTTTCTCCCTCCTATCCAGCTTCTCAATGATCGATAAGCATTGATTTTGCGATGGTTAACATCTCCCACCACCTTCTCATTCCACCTCTTTAGATTTCTTTTTAGCGCCTTCAATTTGCAATCTAACACATAACTAGGAGATCTCCTGAAGTTATAAGAGGTCCACCAAGTCCGTACTCGTTCCCCAAAACCATCTACTTTAAGCCACATCTTTTCAAACCTAAAAGGTTTTTTTCCAGCACACCTCACATTCCCAGATAACGATATAGGGAAATGATCAAAATACAGTCTCTCCATTCTCCTCTGAATGACCTCTAGATACTTAGTCTCCCATGCTCCACATACCAAAAATCGATCTATTCGGGATAGGATAGGTTGATCCCGACTAGAAGACCAAGTAAAGTCTCCCCCAATCATAGGCAGATCCACCAATCATTCTCCCTGATAAAATCTGAAAAGTCCTCCATAGCCCTTGTTAATCTCCCCCTACTAGACCTCTCAGTAGGAAAACGGATCACATTAAAATCTCCTCCGATACACGTTGGAAGGTTCCACCAAGCCATCATACCAGCCAATTCAGCCCACAGTCCACTTCTATGCTCATCTACATTAGGCCCATAGACTCCTACAAACATCCACCGGAAGCTATCCTCGATATTTCTAAATGAGATCGATAGAGAAAACAGACCTTCGCTAACCTCCTCCATATCAAAAACTCTGGTGTCCCACACTATCAGTATACCTCCTGAGGCCCCCGATGACCCTAAAAATTGATACCCCACATGCTGTCCCCCCCATAGGCTACTCACAATATCCCTCGACACATCCTCCACCTTTGTTTCTTGTAAACATACAAGGTCAGCCCTCCATTTTCTCAGTAGATTTCGAACTCCTAACCTTGTCCCTGGTTCATTAAGCCCACGTACATTCCAACTAATTATTTTCGAAATCATCTTAAAACTCGACTTGCCGCCCTTAATATCATAGTTAATTGGGCATTCAAGCCGCTTAAGCTCACGAATGCTCTTACTTCTCGTCTTACCTCCTGGAGTCCCCATCCCTTGTCCCCTGCTAGCCTCCAAATCCTCAAACAATTGTAAGAGCCTATCTTCATACCTATTACAGGACACTCCTACCATCTTGCTAAAATCATGAATTCTTTAAAGAACCCAATTAGAAGGTGGTGGTCTAACGTCAAGTGCACTAGCTTTCGTTATCTCATCAACATAAATAGGATCGTAGTAGTGTCCCTCCTCTTCATCCACCTGTTCAGCAACATTATCTGTGTTTCCCTTCTCAGCGCCACCCATCCACACCATCAATGCATTATCATTCTCTAGACCGCATTTTCATTCTCTAGACCCCATTCATTCGAAGACTTAGCTCTTCGCCTGCTGTAGGTGTTCATTGCCTTAGTGGCCGAGCCTATTTTCCCATGCTGGTCTTCAAGTGCCGACCCTTAGTGTTCACCCAGTTCAAGTCCAACCTCTTGCACATCATCTAGCAACGATCCTTTTACAAGTGGAATCATGTCTAATGACCCCACGATCGTAGAATAAATAACTCTGTTAGCTTCCAAAACTTTCGAGGCAATATTCATAATGCCCTGCTCTCCTCCTTCCGTCCGAGGTTCCGTCCCTCGATATGCCTCGATCCTTGGTTCCACTCCACCCCTTTTCGATCCTTCCATCTCGTCTCGATTCTCATCTCCAGAAGAAATGTCCACATCAAACCCCGTCTAGGACTCGCTACAAGGCTTATCCAACACCTACTGATCTTTAGTCGGAACCCCTATCGACACTGGCTCCTTGACATCCAAATTAACTGACTCCTCCAATCTCACCCCACACTCATGAAAATAGCTTGACATGGACCCCACTATAGACCACTTTCCACAACATTTATCAATCCATCCAATTCTCCTTTCAACGCATGTATGCGCGCCATTACTTCGACATGAGGGTCATTTCTCCCATTGCCCACATGTTCCTTCTGCAACAGTACCCTCTGATCAGTACTTTGCGAAGCCCGTGCATTTGCCGTGACTTCGGCATAAGTCATCCCTCGTCGACTTCTTTCATCATATGTTTGACGTACCACCTTATCCCTGGCCACAAAGGAAGCAGTGACTGCTTGGAACATGCATGAAACCGATTTTCATCCCTCTCCATTTGCACCTTCCGGCACCATTACAACCCCCTTTCTCCACCTCTCTCCATACTGTGCTACCATGAGAAACCTGCCACGACCGTTTGCACAACGTTGCGCCAAGAAAGCACGGGAAGATTCATTAAACTTAGCAACGAATTCCTCCATCTTAATAGCCCTCCTCAACTCTTTCACCATATTCACCATCCACACGGCACCAAATCGGCCCATACAGATAGCACCCAATATCTTCAAGCCCCATTCCGAAACCCTAACCACGCCAGAGGTGGTAATAGTCACTACAAACTCCTTCGCCTCAACTCTAAATCGTAAACTGAAATCCATGGGCTGTTTTCCATGATTTTGTGCTAACGGGCCGGAAGATGACGAAACCGTTGGTCGGAATAGCTTTGTAACAGCCGAAGGAACCTGAAGGTGTCGGCCACTCGCCGACGCCTGAATGGTCGGTGACCCACATGCCTGATCGGTCGGAGTCGGAACGACCTGCAGAGGCTGCTGGTCAGGCGTGTGGGCACTAAATCTAGGCGAAACTGAGGTCTGGTCGAAAACTGCTGGGCTTGCGAGGCTGGTTGTGGCGTGAGGCCAGTGGGGCTGGGTCGCCGGTTCTGGTCTGATGACCGGCGCCAGAGAGGCCAGCGATGGTGGGGTTGGATGGTGGAGGAGTTGGTTTGGATATGATGGGAGACATCGAACCTAGGGTTTCCGCCCTCTGTTCGCTCGGGGTTGGGAGAGTTTGCTATACTAACTCAGATCGCCTTATCTCCACAAAATGAAAAACAAATCTGCACAAAACTAGCAAATGGGGTGGTTATCCAGAAGTATATAAACAAAGTGACTAGCACACTTGCTAGCAAGACCATGTCAAGAGCATGTATGGCTAATCTTAAAATGTGCTTTTCCACTTTAAAACATAAAACCATGCATTTTTTCCGAGAAAGTGTTGTTATGAAAACTAAAAAATACAAGAGACCGGTACTGGTTACTTAAGAAATATGCAAGTATTATTGTCAAGTCATACTTGTTTAACTCTATTTGGGATGTCTCATACGGCATATGGCCCAGGTTTATTGAGCCCCTCTTGGTAGGGATTAAAATTATATTTTTAGTAGATTTTGATAACAGTGGATAATATGTGTGGTTGGAAAGTAGTGGATCTCATAGAATATATAGTTAAAATTAATTATTAACTTTGACTAAAATTAAATTTAGATTTTAATCCTACCAAATTTGAGGTTGAGGTTATTTTTTTATCAAACGTGTTGTTTGCTTAACAATGTGAAACTTGAAATGATGTCTATAGACATTTCGCTTTATTGGTTTCTTCAAAGTACCTTTGATACAAGTTTGCCTGGTAGATGGAACCGAACACTGATAAAGAAAAAAGAAGAGTTACAATCCAAGTGTCGGTCCTACCCAGTATTGTGTACCAAATAACGCTAGAGTTTTAACCTCTTCCCAACAGATTATGCAATAGATTCTAACTCTAAGATGCAAGGTTAGAAAAAAGTAGCATGTTTACCGCTTTTTCTTCAATCCTAAGTATTGTACCTTGATATTTTGCTAATTTACAACGAACAAGAATTTCTCCACAAGCAAATACAAGAAATCCTAAGAATTGATGTTATTTTGTTTTGTAAAATGCAACTGGCATGTAGAGGCAAACTTACAGTGGGTCCTGGTGGGTCACATGATCCACCTACTTCCAAAATTTATTTTCTTTTAATATCAAAAATCATATTTTAGCCTTCAGCCTCCTTTGCCCTTCACAGCCTGCAAAACCCAAAAGAAGAACTCAACGTCCAAATTGGAAAATCAAAACCCTCCCCGCTTCCCTTTCCTTAGAAAACCAAAACTCATTTTATTCAATTTCAGCATTCTTCTTCTCCTTCTTTCTGCAGTTGATTTTGATATGTTTGAATGTTGATGAGTGATTTTGTATGGTAGAGTTAGCTGACCATATACGAGACAGGTAATTGAAGATCATCTCGAATAAGTGTAGTTTCTACACTTATTCGAAATCTTAAAGGATGATATTTTATTATTTTTGGATAAAATACTTCCTGACTTGTGTTATATTGCATTTTGTAGGTAAAACTTGATGTTTGATGAAGAATTGGAGAAAGAATGCAAAAATAATAAAAAATGGCGAAATCCAAAAGTCAAAGACTAAATTGGAAACAATCCATAGATGAGACAGGCAACGAAATGAAGATCGAAGATACCAAGAATTTAATTGGATACAATTAAAAGGTAAAGAAAGAAGATTGCAATAGACAATGGCTGAAACGAATAAAACCCAAAGTTCAGAGACTAAAGTGCAAATACTAAAAAGTTTCTTCGAACCTCACAATGAAGATTTGATAGTGCTAGATGTCAATTGGATGAGGAAAGAAATCAAAAGAATGAACTATAGTCAAAATATCATCACACATCAATTTTCAACCGAAAAAGTTATGCTTTAAATTTTTAGCCTCATATTGAGACCCAATTTTAGCATAACAAAAATTCAAATTGAAAAATGATCATTTCTAGAAGGATTATAGCCTTCTAAGTTAGATTTTCAATACATTTTAAATCACCTCAATCGGATATCGAAAGAAAATGTTATGACAAAAATACTAAAAACTGTTCGGTTGTCGAAACACAGGCGAGGCGCGCACCCTCGCCTGTAGGAGAGACACCCCAACAAAAATGAGGCGACTGAGGCATCCCAAATAGCTAGGCGCAAACCCTAGCTATGCTATGCCTAGGCACGCATCTCAGTACAAAAACAAAAACAAAAACAAAAATCGATTTTCCTTATTTTTCTTTTGGTAACAATTCAATGTAATCTTTTTTATATCCTTTAATTATGAAAACTCGGTCAGAACTTGAAAAAACCTCCATTCAACCTAAACTGCATCATATTCTATATATTTTGGAAGTGAAGAACAAGTCTACACATAAATTCAAGGTGAATCATACAAGGAATTTGAAGATTAATAGCTTGGTTTCAAGAGTTGAGTCAAGAACGTGGATTTCTCTTATTTCTTCCATCTTTCTTATTTTCGAGTGATATTTTTTCAATTATTCTTGTAAAATTTAATTATAAGAATGTTAAGCTAAATTTCTTCATTGTATTAGATGAATAATGAACCATATTATTTGTTTATTTTAATTTAAGACAATTAGCTTAGTATTTCTTGATTGATTTTGCATTTCCATTGAACTATGTGATTGCTTGATCACTAGTCGGATAGTAAGTTGCTTATTACAGTTTATGAATACTCACAATAAATTTAGAACGCTGCAAAATCAACATATGAACAATAGATATTAGGAATAAACTTACGACATTTGCAATCATGTGTGATAAATCATGTGAATCAATGCATGTTTTTCATATGAATTTGGACTAAGAATTTGATTGGGTCACGTTAAACATATATTTAAAATATTTTGGAAAATAATATTGAATAAACGTGAATTATCGATTGTCTTGAATGCATAAGTTTACTAGATTACGAATTAAGAATTGAATTAAATGGCAATAGAGGGATTTACGATTCCAATACAAACATTCACATATTAGATAAATATTTTATTTACTATCTTAGTTTAGGATTGGTATAGAAAACATACCAACCATTTCTTTCAACATTACATGACTTCAAATTCGATAAAAGTTATTGAACTAGATATTAGACATTATTCGTCATAGGAATAATAAACTCGAAACTCATTGACTTCTATTACTTGTCAATGATCCTGCACACTTGCGGATTTTGTCTGAACGTTAATCTATCTTCTTGTAAATCGAAATAAATAATTGTTCTAAGGAGGTGTTGTTAGGTTGCTAGTTGCATAAGCATATCTTCTTTGCTATTGTTTTATCTTGGTTGATCAACCCCATTCTGAGCTTTGAAAATCTTGGTCTGTTGAACTCAACACAAAATCCAGAAAAATATTATGTATGCAGTAAAGTGTGTTGATATGTCCTATCCACTTAAAAAACTTACCCTCTTCACGTAACTCGCTCTTTTTTCTTCTTACTTTTGAGTATTGACTAAAAGAGCTACTTGTTTAGATGACAACTCTTAATATATGAATAATGCTATAGGTAATTATATTCATATCACAATTTTTATTTTTTATACCACATTTTAATTGCAAAGTTCTTAATTTTTGCTCATTATGACACTTATATTCCTAATAGTTTTTCACGTCATTCTTATTATCAAATTTTTCATCAGTTAACACATTTTGTATTTGATAAAGTTTTATGCCAAAAAATACATTAAAATTGCTTACAATAACTTATTTTTCAATCATATTTTTTAAAAATAAATGAATAAAAAGTACGAAAATATATTTTTCCTCATTTCAAAACATGAAAATAGAATATTTTGATACAAATCATCATCAAGGACGAGATATACTAATTAATGGAAGGTTGAAGATAAGAATTTGATTGAAAAAAGTTAATGAAATAATTGCTACAATAAGTAAAGATTGAGGAACTTAACTATAATTGAAATGTGGTGTATGAAATAAAAAATGTGGTGATAATATAACCACCCTAATGCTATTTGTATATCATTATTTACTGATTTTTTTATAGATTGATGAGGTGACAAAAAGAAAGTGAGAAATTTTTCTTTTATTTTTAGTTGATTGCTGAAATTTTAACTTAATTATATCTCGTCACATTTTCAGTTGATAAATAAATCTATAATTTGTGATGCACATGTAACATTAATATGTTATTGATGATAATAAAAAGCTCTTAGTTTATTAAATTAATTAACTTTTGTTTTTCAAACTTTGACAAAGAAGAATATATATATTTATATAAGTGTAAGTTTGGCCAAACATGATTAATTTTTGTATCCCTCAAAAGTGACACCCTAGTAACAAACAAAAGAAAAGAATACGCCTGTGGGCTTCGTTCGTTCTTGGGTTTGTGGTCTTGCAGATTGCCCTTTACCACCCACTCCGCCTCCCCCAATATTCCTGGGTCTGTTCGTGGGCTGCTATAATTTCCTTCTTTGATTTATCAATTAATCCTTTAGTGGTATGCTCTTTCTTTATTCGTTATGTGGGATTGTTTTTCAAATTTCAACACAAAAGTTCATCTGTGGATTTTTTCCTGTTGAAAGTAAGATATTGTTGTTTGATTTGTGAGTGTAAGAAGCAAGATTCTAAAGAATCTTAACCCATTGGAATTGCGTGTTTCTATGAATAAAGATCCAAAATTTTAGTCACTTTATTTTAATTTTCAGAATTTTACAACTTCATAGCTGTTTTTGTTGCTTTTATTTCTGAGTAATTAGGATATCCAATCTGGAAGCCATTTTTCATGTTTCAAGTCCTTTGGACAGCCGACTTCAAATATAATTCTGATATTAGTAAAAACTAAGAGCATGTTTGGCCTTGCTTTTTATTGCTTTTAATTGTAGAAGACTATAAAGAAGCCATTTTGGCATTGAAGTTTAGCCAAACATGATCTAAGTGAAGTTTTTGGCCTGCAGGTAGCATCATTTTGGGAGAAGAAGGTGTGAGTGAGTAATTTTACAGCTTCGAAGAATACATTATCGATTGGTGGAGGAAACGGACTGATGTCGCTGAGAATAAAGACGGTTGTAGATAAGTTTGTGCAGGAGCTGAAGGAGGCCCTGGATGCTGACATACAGGACAGAATTATGAAGGAAAGGGAGATGCAGAGTTATATTGAGGAGCGTGAACGCGAAGTTGCTGAGCGAGAAGCTGCCTGGAAGGCCGAGCTCTCTCGCCGTGAGGTACCCTAGTTACAGTTTTTTATTAGTGAATGGAAATACGAGTTTGAGGATGTTAAGAGTTGTGAACTGAAGTAGTCGATATAGAATGATGAAAGGACTGTGTTAACTTACATATATTTTCCATGTAAGAATTACAAAGAGAAAGATCTAATCTATGGGGATACAAATAACCATGTAAGAATTACAAAGAGAAAGATCTAATCTATGGGGATACAAATAACCATAAAAGGGAATAATTTTATACTAGTTTCACAATTAAACTTGCGCAATATGAAAATTCTCACAGTATCACTATAACATGGAAATCTTTTTATTATCTTTAACGAAGGAAATGACTGGCTGTTTATATTAATGTATACTTTGAAAATGTGTAGTAAATATTTTTGCAGAAGATTTCATGATTGCTGGTTTGAGTCATTGCCTGATGCAAATATGTTAACCAACATTCTTATTCTCGCCTTTAAGACACTTTGAATCATCCATCTATTGCAAGGGAGCTTTTCCATACAACAAATCAATTCTTCAGTCGAGGAGTTAGTTAATGTATTTTTATTCTTTACAGTTGGAAGGTTTTTCAGCATTTGATGGGACACTGCTAGTTGTTTTCAGTTACCCTTTTTTTTCCCCCCAGAATTTCTTGCGTGCGTTTCTTTTTCTTGATCAACAGCTTAGGTAGCATTCTTCATACAACTGATTTGATTTGTTCCTTATTTAAAAGACAGCCAAGTTTGGCAAAATTTCTATTCAATTTCAAAAGTCTGCTCAAGTGGGACATTTATCTGTTGCTATAATATTCTTTTTCAGTTGTGAAGAATGTGCAGATGAACACATTAAGAAAAGAAATGTGTAGGGATTACCTTGTCTTTATAGTCTATGGTGGTATTTGTTTATTGTGTATACTTGGCTGGGTAAAAAAGTTTAACACATTGATGGTATGTTTGACAGAGAGAATTGGATAGTGTTGAGGAAGAACAAAAAAATTTGTCTTATTTATTTGAGTGTCTCATATTGCATACTAAACATGACATAGACTTGCACAGTTATCTTCCCTATTTGTTGGTAGAACCTTCAGACATTTGGTGCATTTGAGTAGAAAGGGGGAATAGAAATGAAAATTTTAAATGCTTATCGAAACAGATCGAAGAGCCTAATAGGTTGAAATTGGAAAACTTGATAATATTTTGGTTCATCTACAAGTATCATTCATATGCATATCGAGTCCTCAATCTCATCTACATAAAATTGATCATCAGCATACTTTTGACGTTGTTCTAACAATTTCTAGACCTGAGCATGACATAATGAGGGTGTTTCAATTTCTTCAACCTTGAGAATGAGAGATCATCCTCTGGTGCAAATGATACTGAGATGGTATCTCGACCTTGTTGAAAAGTAACTTGCATCTGAATTTAGCAGCTTTTTTAAGCTTCAGTTGACATTGTTTGATCTTACCTCTTGGAAATATGAAAAGTAGATCGGCCTTTTGCCTCCAAGTATGCTTGGGGATTTCTTCTTGTTGTGTATGATAACTCACTTAGTCTGGTCAAACATACATTCTATCCACACATTTTGAAGAATCCGCAACTAATATATACTTATTATCCATATATTCAGTAGAACCCACAACTCATAAGCACTCCCAAGCATACAATTGGATAAGTGGATGTTTGAAACTAACTGTTTGTGCTGTGTTTAATAATTTCATGTTAACTAATACATCTTTCTCTCGTTGAATTGCCTGAGCTGTAATATTTCCGTGTCTGTTTGCAATCCAAGTCTTTTGGTTAGCGAATTTCTTCGCTCTCCTTTTGTAGCTCCTTATCTCTTAGGGTTCTACTGGTGTAGCTCTCAACTAAGAGCCTGTATAGCTAAGCTTAGGAAAATTAAAAGAACTTAATGTACAAAATGCCCAAACATATTTTGAAAATAGTTACTTAAAAAGTAACTTTTAAGCTTAGCCAAAGATACTCTAAAATCTATTTCTTTGCCTTAAGTCATCTAATTCATCTTCCCATATTTGGGCTTACTCATGACCATGTGTCTGTGAAAGGCTGTCGAAGAAATACATAATTGCCTTCCTTCAAAAGGTTTTTGCCTCTGATGAAAATCAGTATGGCAAAATGAGAATTAAATCTTTACTGTTGTTTTATTGTCAATGTCTATTGATCAAGAAAAAGAATAGGAATATATTTCTTCAAGTCCTTATTTATGACTTGTAGGTTGCTGTTATCTATTTCTTACAAATTTTAAGTTTTGCTTTAAATATACCATATCTGTTTTCTGTTCTCGTTATGATTTCTGAGTGTGACTGTTGTTACAGGGTGAGATTGCTAGACAAGAAGCAAGGCTAAAGATTGAAAGAGAAAATCTCGAGAAAGAGAAAAGCGTGCTTATGGGAACTGCATCAAATCAAGATAATCAAGATGGAGCTCTTGAAATAACAGTAAGCGGCGAGAAGTATCGTTGCCTCAGGTTTGCGAAAGCAAAGAAATGAGGCGCACAAAACTTTATTTGTTATACTATCTTTTTATGACATGTTTGGTAGGGATAAACGAATAGCATTGGACAATATTGCAAGAGAAAAATGAATTGAAGTTTATTATACTGTCCAGTCTTACTTACGACTGTGCACCAAACATGCATTGACTAGTTTAGAAGTCAATTGGATGCTTTTAGTCGTGAATGCAAGCACTTGATAATTTAAACGCCGAGCTTGTTTTCAAATTATTTAACAATGAAATGTTGGTTTTTCATGATCTACAGTGATAAACATGATTGATTCCCTACTTTTTGGATCAAATAGATGATCCGTTCTGTTTATCGAACGACTTACCGATTGAAACCTTGATTTGCGATTCGGTAATTTGGTTGGGTTGGGTTGGGTTAGGTCAATAATCAGGTCGAATTTGATAACTATGTTTACTATTCGTATTTTGGAACAAGGTTTGTAATTAATCTGATTTTTTTACCCAAATCCTTGTGCTGAATTCGAAGAGGCTACGCAATCTACTGCCCAAGTGTGTCTGGAAGCAATTAAGAATTCAACTTCTTCATTTTAAGAGGGAAAAAAGCAATAATTTCGTCAGAGTGTATTAAGATGTTTCAATTTTCCTTGTATTTTTTTACTTATTTTTCTAATTGATGTGACATATATTTTCTATATTCTTTTATAATTTTTTTTATTGATATGAGAAATATAAATTTATTACTTTGTATTCTTGATCGTTTGGTCATGTAAGTAGTGGTTTAAAATATTATTATATTATAGTGAACACGTGAATAATTCAATAAAACAAGAATGTGCTGTAAGTTGTATAGCTTCTTGATATAAAACTCAGAGAAAAGAGAATAAGAACAAAAGAATGGAGAAACAATCAAAACTCTTATATGTGATTTATCGAGAATCAAAATTCTATATATTTATAATTTAGAATTAGAGTTGTAAGCGTATAATGGTCATCCAAAAATAATATTTGATTTACAATACTTCTTGATGACTATATACAAAACAACTGCCTTGTTAAAAACATTGCTTCAGAAAACATCAAATTAAGGAAAAATGAATATAGTTAATCATAAAAGAATTTGTAGCATTTAGATGCTACCTCGCTAAAAGTCTAGTGAAACAAAACATGGACGAAGAAAATGTTGATCACTAAAAATCTGTATCTTGAATCATCTATATTTTGTGCGCCAATGTCTTCATTCCCGCGATTCCGGTCATATTTTCCATCTTGCTTGGTACAACCTCAAAGAAATATCATTTTCATTTAAGACATTCATCAATCACTAGTTGATTGTAGTCAGCATAATAGTTCAATGCAATTACATTGAAAATAGATAAAATTGCTATTCTATTCACAGTCTCATATACAATTTCTAACATTAGAGAGTAAAATCATAGAGTTATGATGGTAAATGTAGGTTATGGACATCTATAACTATAATATTTATAAAACACTCCATTAAATGTTCATTACCCAAAGAATATTTATCATTTAAACCATATTCGGAAATATTGGACTTCGCTTGGGCATCATCTTTCCTTTCATTCACTAGCTGAGCACTTTCTCTTGTCAGATAGATGCTTTTATCTTGTGGGAAAAAAATTTGGTGAAGGAATATAGTACATTATTCTTTTGAACATCAAATGAAAGTTGTCTTGTTAAAATTCTGGAGAAAAAATTCAATAAGACAACCTTGATTAAGGGGGAAAAAAGTGCAAAGCTTATTTACTATTTTTTATTGACTTATCAAGTGTTGCAGAAGATAATGTCTTTATGAACATCTTTACTGCGTAAATCTTCATGAGAGTCACATGCGAATGGATAAAGTGACTGATAATCTCTTGTGTGGATCAAATTATACTACATCATTATATCTAATTAATCTTTATCTTAAACTATGGTATTTTAGGACCAATAAGTATTCATTAATACTTAGAGGATGAAAATGGCCTCTTTTCACTTCAAGTGACAAATACCCATTGGGATCAAATGCTACATCATTTTTCCATAGGAAATATCTTTAGAACTTTTTATATATAAGTTGCATGACGAACTATTACAGTTATGGACGAATCTCCAATATCCTCCCCTCAATCTCATGATTCCAGTCAATCCCCTAAATATAGAAAATAAGATTACATTGTATAGGCCGCCTTGTATAGAAATATTCTTGCCTTATTTGCTGTTGTAAAATTTTTATACAATGAAACCATAGCCACTAGCAATATATGGTGGTTTATCAAATACTTCAATGGTATTATAGCTAATATAGGATTCACATCCATCGATCCAATGGCCTCCGTCACTACATCTTTTTCTCTGTCTTTCAATACCATGGTGCATCTCCTAACCGTCAAGGTATCTTCCTCAAACTATATTCTCTGGCGCAGCCAAGTGCTGCCATTGTTGCAGTCCCAAAACCTTCTCAGTTATGTAGATGGCTCTCTGAAATCTCCTCCTGCCACCATCAGTTTTGCTGAAGCCGCCACAGCAAATCCCAAATTCATTGAATGGCAGCAAACTGATCAGCTTGTTCTCGGCCTTCTCCTCTCCTCTTTAACGGAAGAAGCTCTATCCACTGTCGTCTGATTGAGCATCTCACATGACTTATGGACTTCCTTAGAGACCACCTTCAGCCATTGTTCCAAATCTCGGGAGCTGCGCCTAAAGGATGAATTACAACATATGAAGAAAGAGACCCGAACTGTGGTTGAATATTCTTGTGAGTTCAAATCTGTTTGTAATCACTCGCTGCCATGGGCCGGCCAGTAGATGATCTAAACAAAATACACTAGTTTTTATAAGGACTTGGCTCTGCTTTCTCCACATTTTCTACACACAGCTATCAATCTCGCCTCTGCCATTTCACTAATCTTGTTCCTTTGGCAGAAAGTTATGAAAATTTTGTCAAGTCTTTGGAGACACCTACCATAGCACATACTTCTACCGCCTTCACTGCCTCTCATGGACACAAATCTGGTCATCCCATTCGTAGAGGTCGTAGCAATGGTGACGACCGTTATCAACGCAGCTATCCCATTCGTATCAATTATGTTGTGAAGAAGGCCATTACGCGACCTTCTGCCGTGACCGCTACCCTCAGTCTTCCAACACTGCCAATCTTGTGGAAGCTCTTACCTCATGCTCCCTCAATGACAATTAGGAATCCGATTGGTATACGGACACTGGTGCAACGACACACATGACTAATGATGTCTCCCAGCTGCACAAGTATGACAAGTATACTGGTAAGGATCGCGTTGTTGTTGGTAATGGTGCCTCTCTTCCCATCTCTCATATCGGTACCGCCTCTCCTATCCATTCTCCTACTCTAAAAGTTATCCTAGTTGTGCCTGGCTTAGCCAAAAACCTAATATCCATCAACAAACTTACTACTGATTTTCCTTTCTTTATCACATTCACTAATGATTGCTTTTTTATATAGAATCAAGTCACAAGAAAGGTGGTGGCAACCGGGCGACGTGAAAATGGTCTCTATGTGCTCAAGCACGACCATAACTCTTTACTTTCTGTACTTTCCAATAATTGTCCTCGAGCTTCTTTTGATGTTTGGCATGCTAGCTTAGGCCATTTATCTCACTCTATTATTTCTCTATTGAATAAAAATCGCCAATTATGTGTGACTTCCTTGCTCCCGAACCCCGCTATTTGCTCTACTTGTCAATTTCAGAAATTTGTAGAAAATCAATTTTCCGCTAAAATCAAAGCTTTTCAAAGTGACGGAGGCACAGAATTTACAAATCACCTTTTCTGGGATCACCTTTCAAACTGTGGCATACGTCATCAAATGTCTTGCCCTTATACACCGGCCCAAAATGGTCGCGCCGAGCGCAAACACCATCATTTAACGGAAACTGATCTTGCAATGCTTTTTCACTTCCACGTTCCCCTTTAATTTTGGTTGATGCTTTTAGTACGGCTGTTTTCATCATCAATCAATTGTCAACACCTACTCTTGATGGCCTGTCTCCCTTTGAGCTGCTATATGGTAAGCCTCCCGTTTACTCTAATTTTCACTTTTTTGGCTGCCTTGTATTTTCGTACTTACGTGATTATGCATCTCACAAATTAGCTCCTCGTAGTCGTCCTTGTGTTTTTCTTGGTTATAGTATGTCTCATAATGGCTATCGTTGTTTTGATCGCTCCACTAATCATGTTTTTATCTCCAGACACGCAGTTTTTGATAAACTCAATTATCTCTTTCAGGGAACTTTCTGCCCTAAGTCCATGCCTAACTCTCCCATTAGTGCATTTTTTGAGCTCATCACTATCCCAAAGGCCTCATCACCTATACAACCCGATCCCATACCACCTCCTTGTAATTCTTGGTCTACCGATGCATCTACTAGTCTTGTGCCAATGTCTCTTTTGCAGGACGTAGGTGATGACCCTACTAGTCACAGAGTGTAGAGTCCTTCTCATGACTCCGAGCTATTGCCCGCTAGTCCAACTCCTGTCACTGAAGTATGCTTGGGTCAGCCTCCTCCACTTGGCATCCATCTAATGTAAACTTGTGCAAAATCCAACATTTTCAAGCCTACCCACCGCTCTCATGTGTGCATGGTCCCTAACTCGGGCCAACTTGAATCTCTTCTCACCATGCACAAACCTAAAGGCTTCAAGTCCACTGCTAAACATTCTGGATGGATTGCAGCCATGGATGAAGAAATTCAGGCCCTTCACAAAAATCATACATGGGACTTGGTACTTAAATCGTCCAATGCAAATGTTGTGGGCTCTAAATGGGTTTTCTGCATCAAATACCTTTCAAATGGCACTGCTGATTGTCTTAAGGCCTGCTTGGTTGCAAAGGGTTACACACAACAACCAGGTCTCGACTTCACCGATACCTTCAGTCCTATTGTCAAAGCTTCCACTATCCGAGTTTTTTAATCCTTGGTTGTCTCACATAATTGGCCTCTTCGGCAGCTTGATGTTAAAAATGTGTTTCTTAATAGGTTCCTACAAGAAGAAGCCTATATGGATCAGCCGCCTGGTTATGTTGTCTCTAAACATCCCACATATGTTTGCTGCCTTCGTCGGGCTCTTTATGGTCTTAAACAAGCGCCAAGAGCTTGGTTTCATCGCTTCAACTTTTTTCTCTTAGCCATTGGCTTTGTTTGCAGTCAAGCTGATTCCTCCTTATTTGTTCTTTCCAAGGGTGCTGACTTAATTTACCTATTGCTCTACGTTGATGACATTGTAGTAACTGGCAACAACTC